AAAAAAAAAAAAAAAAACCACTTGGCTTGGCTTGGCGGTAGGTCTGGTTTCCCGCCTGGGCAGCCCAGCTCCCTAGCTCGGGCCCAGGTCAGCTTGGGTCTCAGGCCTGACTGACCATAGCCCCAAGCAGTTACCTGCAGCTGAGGGTACTTGCTTAAAGCCAATGCTACAAACTGAGGCCTGCCCTGCCCCCACCTGTAATGCCAAGGCACATGGTCAGAGCTTAAGGAAGCCAGAGCCCAGGCTTGACTCTGCTCAAGAGGGAACACGTGCCTGAATTTAGCTTTTAGCCAGAACTTGTAGCTATACCTTCTTGTGCTCTCTCTCTCTCTGCCTCTCCCTCTCCTCTCTCTCCCTCTCCCTCTCCTCTTCTGTCTCTGTCTCTCTCTGTCTCTGTCTCTCTGTCTCTCTCTCTGTCTCTCTCTCTGTCTCTCTCTGTCTCTCTCTGTCTCTCTCTCTGTCTCTCTCTCTCTCTCTCTCTCTCTCTCTCTCTCTCTCTCTCTCTCTCTCTCGATTCACACCTAGGACACTAGGTGGCTGTTTTGAAATTCTCTCGGATTTCTACTGCAGCAATTAAGGGTAAGGCTATTAGCTCTGACCTCTTGGGCTTTCATCTTTGCATAGGCTCTGTGTTTCTTATTTAATAAGACGGTTACTTCTACAATACATAGCTACAATTCTCTCAAACTTGCATCTTAACACCTAGAAGAGATTTTTAAAAATTTTCTTAACATTTAGAAGAGGTGTTACATTATCTTCTAATAAGACATAAGGCAAGAGAGCTACTCCCTGTGTGTTTGTCTTTATATAGACTTCTGTTCTGCCTTCTCATTGGTTGTAAACCCAACCACATGACCTCCTCATTACTGCCCATCTCTACAGACCTCCAGGTCTTCTATGGTTGGTATTGAGATTAATGGCATGTGTCTCCATGCTGGCTGTATCCTTGAACACACTAGATCCGCCTAGCTCTGCCTCTCTCAAGCTGGGATTAAAGGCGTGCACCACCTCCACCCAGCTTCTGCCATGGCTTGCTATTAGCTCTTATCCCAAGGCAACTTTATTAACATACAAATAAAATCACATTTCAGTACAAATAAAATATCACCATAATGTATAGCAATATTTATGTTACAATTATGTTAACCTGCTAATGATGAAGCTAAGGGAGACTTTAAGTTTCATGTGGTTGCATCAAGAGGTTTTTTTTTTTTTTT